AGTGCATATTATCATGTCACATTCTTTTCACATCTGTTCAGCCATCTCAACATTTTTAGCTCTGTCTTCTTCATTCAACCCGATTCATTTGCCTCTTCTTCCCACCCCTCACATTCCATCAGACAACTTTTCTATCACTCGCCAAAACTCGTTGCGAAATTGCATCGTTAGTAACTTACCAGAAATAAATTGCCGATTCTGATGTCTCATCAGTCTGTGAATTTGGGACCTTCAACATGCAAACTCTGATGCAGTTGGGTCAACAAGCGTATCTTGCGTGTACAATCAACTCTGGAAATTGATGTCTGTTTCCTATTTGAGACTGAAATTCGGAATCATAGTAGTATAAGCCAATTGAGTGCACCAGGTATTTTCTCGAGGTATTTTCTTTGCACATCAGGAGCGTGGTCCATGAATCGTACTAGGCGATAGAACCGAGGTTTCGTTGATAGATTAAATACCAGCCAATAGACGTTAGGTGCACTATACGGCTGCAGGGCTCGGTTTCGTTTTCGTTAGGGGAGGCAACACTAAAAGGTGCAGTGCAGTGAACATTCATAACAAAGCGATCCCATTTTAACAGAAGATGCACAGATGATCCAGACGTGTGTGTGGTGAAATTTATCCTCCACATTGTGTTTTCGACCTAGTGAATCACCTGGCATATATTTATATAATAAGTAGTATATGCCTGAAGAGAATTTCCGAGGAAGCACGACCGGTTTCACGGTTCTTATCGCTTGTTAAGCATGCTGTGGTGATCCTAGCTTGTGGGATGACGCAAAATACAAGGCGACCTGTTACAGTTTCCGGACAGCTGTGATGGGTCAAGCTACCCAGATGTCGCCCGCAAGGCACCTACGGGTTACAGCTTCTAGACTACTAGCTATAAACCGANGATTGTACCAACCAATCAGAAGACGTGTGACGCCAGGAATACGAGCAGGCGATTGGTAGATGCCTGGATGACCACTGAACTTCTTTGTACATATTATTTAAAACCCATGAATTGCTACTCTTGCATTCTTTTCCTTGAGTCTCGGTTTCGTGGGACACCGTCGTGCAAGTGGCAGTATAGTTCAGTGCTTACATGACANACATGACATTCGTGGTTTCTGATACGTGATTCGTGATCGGTAGGTACTTCAACTTCTACACATGCGTACTCGGTAGTCTTTTGTCTTTTCATTCATATACTACTTATTGTAAAATACATATATTCCGTATCATGTTATCTGGGTTAGGGACAATCAATAATGGTCTAGCATAGCAATGATTGCCCTAGTTCAAGCTGCGCTCAAGTGCAACTGGGGAATAAGTCTATATCAGTTCAGTTCAGCTCTTGCAACCATTAATCGTGCACTTTTGTGGGCCGGGTTTGGTTCTTGTCTTTTGGTTGCCCATTTGGTTAAAACAGCAAAATGAAGATCGGAATATTGAGAGTGAATTCAAGCGGAAGATAGCGTATTTATATCGACTGAAGTTATAAGAATAATGAGTAGATGCATGAGCGCCACTGTTTGCGGCGTCCAGCCATATTGCTGAGTGTCTCTAACCATCGGTGACCATGATCTCGGGATCCCCATCCAGGGAGCCTAACGGGACTTATGTGACCTAGTCTCCTGGTTAGGGTTTTCATACCCTCATGCCGGGTTTTAGTTTAACCTCCCTTGATTTCTTCCAACCGCTACCTGCCTCTCTGTGGTAACCGATCTGGTGGCATACATAGCACATGTCCCAACTAGCGTAAACTATGCAGGTCGATCACTTGTTCCAGTGGACGACAACGAATTCCTAAAACTCTACGCCTAACCTGAGCATTTCTCGTCCGGTTTTCTCTCCAGACTCGTGCAATGTGACGTAGACAGCGGTGTTTGAGCCCCGATAGTCTACTTTTATCCTGTTCCCGTAATAGCAGTACTGGCCGAACTGCTGCAGCTTATATTCGACCCTTCACAGACAACCGAATATCGCGAAGGCGGCACGGAAGTCTCAAGTTGGCAAATGCCAACCGAGCTTTCTGTATGCGCGCCGACACTTCATCTGTGATGCGTCCGCCAGGTGAGATGTAGCTGCCTAGTTAGCAAAACTTGTCTACTTACTCTACTACTCTCCCTGTCAGCATAATACTGGATGCTGGACCAACCCAATCTTGCAGGAACATTTCACACTTTGAAGGTGCAAAGCGCATGTCAAACATCATTATACTAGCACTCAAACTATCCAGAAAAGCTTGCAATTTACTTGGAACTTCACTCAGTAGCACAATGTCGTCTGCATACTCCAGATCAGACATTCTGCCACGTGGGAGTAAATCAATGCCGCTGTCCCCGCACGAGGATAGGGCTGTTTCCATAATCAAATCTATTTCAAAGTCAAATAGAAATGGAGAGGGTAACCCTGTCAAACACCACTTTCTGTAATGAACTCGGGTGAAAAAGTGCCGTTAGCTTGGACTCGGGTTTGGCTATTGTTGTGGAGGGATTGTAATATTGAAATAGACTTCTCGGGCACGCCCTTCAGGGAAAGGTAGTGCCAGAGTTTAGAGCGGTCGACTGAGCCGAAAGCCGCTTTTAGGTAGAGCAAGATGAAACTGGTGGGCCTATGAAAAGAGTCTGTGTTCTATGATTTGACGAGCAGTAAAGATGTGGTCGATACAACCTCGACTAGGTCTAAAACCAGCCTGGTTCTCACGCGTGCACTCTTCACGAGCGGCAGACAATCGACAGAGTATGATGCCGGCAAGAAGTTTGGACGCAATGTTAATTAAACTAATTCCTCTGTGGTTTTCACAGGAAGATCTGTCGCCCTTCTTATAAGCCGGTATGATCACCGATTCACACCATTCAGTTGAAACCTGTTCCCTCTCTGTTAGGTAAAAAGACTATTTTTTTTTACCTTAAACTGCCTATTTTTCAATTATTTTCAATTAGGGGCATCTCGAATCAATGCTAATCTCGCTGAGAATAATCAATAATATTGCGTCACACGGAAATATTCAATCTGTCCGTCTGACCCGTAACCTATGACCGATTGAACTTTTGCTAACTGTGTACTTGATTAACACAATCTTTTTCTTGCATTAATCGAGGCACATATAAGCATCAGAGTAAAACCTGTAAATTGACTTGCTTCCTGTGTGTCAAGTACACGGCTGTGCACTATCTGTGTTCTTGCTTACGTAGCTGGGAGAAGGCTACTAGTACTCGTGGCGTCCAATCTGTGCTGTGATTGTACTTGTGGGGCTAGATGATTAGTGTGGCCCTTGAGGTACGTGTGTTCCTTGTGTGTCGTCGTGTGATATCTTGTGTGTACATTGTTATCAGTGGGGATTCCGAAACAGCACTCTCCCACACTGAGCCCAGGAGTTTCGTTAACTCCGAAACCAGTGCTAAGCCTGCATCCTTAAAAACGGATGGTGAGAGCCCGTCTGGGCCTGAGGCCTTATGTCTTTTGAGATAGCTTATTTCCCGGGAAACCTCCATTTCAGATGGATGACTGATGTCAACTGACAGTATTTGCACAGTTGAATCGGATAGGGGAGATCTTGTGCTGACGAGGGCCAGCTGAACTGAGCCTTAAAATGTTATGCCCATTAATCTAGACGACTCTGCTGAATATAGATCAGTGTGCCGTAACAATCGAATGGGCTAATCCAAGCTTATTACTCTAACATTTTCGACATCCTTTCGTTTTACATACTCTTCCGTTGTTTTTGTTGTTTAGATTTTCAGATATTCTATCTAGACTGAAGCATAATAGTTAATCCGCTTGAAGCTGCTGAAATTGCTTCTTGGTTGTATTCGTGTTTTCTTAATCTCTTTGAACCATATCCGTGAATTTGAAAACAAAATCTGATATTTTCTCCCAAAGCACCGTTGTCTATCGCTTGAAAGCTCTCATTGTACCACATTCATTAGCAAGCGGCCAACCACATCAAAGCTTCCATTGCTTTTGTTGTAAAATAGCGCTGTTAAAAATATCCCATTGTCACTTGCCTGTTGATTGATTTTGTCGTGTACTCAGGCTTGAGCTTGGTCACTGTGACCATTATATTTTCTCTTGGTGAGATGCAGTGCATGATACATGTACTTTAGTCGTGCACTGGGATGCGGTCAAAATGGACTGTAGTTGACTTCTCTGTCCAAGGTTGTACCGTAATCATTGTCATGCCAACGAAAAGCGTATTCAAACAATCCCACTGGAACAACCAGACGGATTTGACTTACAAAGTTGCTGCTTTTTTATCTTATGGGTTATTTTCGACGGAAATACGCGAATCCAGTTGGGGCTCGCTATCAAAATATATGAATTGACTGTTCTGGTTTGATATTTGGACTGGGTTGTAGGTAAGTCTGGCTTTTATACGAGTTAGTTCTCTGACCCCCTAGTTGCCGAAAGGTAGCTGACCGTAACCTGATCTCAACGACCTTTGGGCGTAACCTGTTTCGAATGTGTGATTCAGAGAGTACAAGGATTGACATATTGATACAACTTTTCAAACACTTTCTGACCGCTAAAAATTTTCACTCATTGATGTGATCAGGACCAACTAAGCCTCCTTCGACTGGGGATAAACACAATCTCACTTCCATGTTCATTATCGTCACACGTTATTCCTTACCACAGTCATCGAAATTAATCAATGTTTTAACAAGCGTCATGGTACAAACACGTACTGGTGAAAAATGCTTCTGACATCAAAATATTTGTAACCCGAGCTTCAAGGAAATAAACACTGTAATTTATTGACCTAAGTCGTCTGCCGAATTGTCCATCTTTCTTTTGTGGAATCGTAATTGCCAGCCGCCTAGTTCACCCACGATACAGGCATATCAGAACACTACAGTGAGAAAATGTTTTTATCAAAACTATTCACTCGTTGGAAAGTCTTTCACGTTGCGAATAAAGGAACTAAAATCTCGTCCTAATCTGCCTGATACAAACGGTTCTGTAAATCACAATAAAAAGAATAATCAGATATTCAGAATAGGGGTCATTCAATGTTTCTGTACGAAGTATGTGAAAAGGATAGATATGATCGGGAATAAATAAGACCCTGTTCCAGTCATGAGGGTGAAACCTGAGTTACAATGCGTTTCCTTCTCATACTGTCCCAAACACAGAGCGAACATGGTCGCGTAGGTGAGATAGGTGTTGTCCGTCGGGCGTCTGAATAATTGACTGTACGGTCCGGTGGCGTACAGTGGCACATCGTCAGCTTCATGAGTCGAAAAGTCCAGGGGAACAAGTGACTGTTGTTGATAACTCTTCTCGAACAAATTTCCTGCGTTCAGTGGATTCGGACGGGATTTGTTGATCTGTGCTCCGGGACCGTTTGCGTAGTTCGAAATCAAATAGGGCATTTTGTCGGCACCCTGGATGGAGCACAAATTAATTGAGAAATAACTTGTGCAAGAAACAAACGTATTCAATAGGGATGTAAAAAATAAGAGATACATTTCAGCTGTATGGTAGATGGAAATCAAAGAGTCACTTTGTGTCATTGTGGCCCTTACGGGTTTTTAATTGGGACGATAAATTTATTGTCTACTAGCACAATCATTCCTGATCGATTTTGATGTAGGGAAATGTTCGAAAGTGCCTGTCTGCCACGATTCGAGAGCTGCAGTTTAAATGGTTTGGGCCAACCGTGTCACTGGTTTACCCCGAATCTTTATCATCATCATTGTACAACGCAATGCAGTAAAGCGAACTTCACTGATCGCTGTCAAACTCTTATTGCATACAAGGTAAGTGAGAATGTGTAGGACGAGAGACACCTACTGTACCTAATCGCTCCGTGCATTTCTTTATGCTTCGTCTCCACATCATCTGCTAGCCTCCACGTGGCTTTCTCCAGCCTGCAACAGCCACTGCCATAAAGGCGCGCTGCGGTAGGCGACTGTCGGACATTCACAAAACGTATCCTAACCAACGGAGCCTATTGAGCACAGTTCGATGCGACAGCGAGTTCTTGTTTGATGCATTTATCCAGGATAATCATATCCGAATCTCGTACTCTAACCCGGGTGATGAACGGCTGAGCCGTCCGATTCCATACCAAACAACTAACACTGGGACGATATGCGGTTAGCTACTTCAAATTCCAAAGATGCGATTGCAAATCTGGTTGACCAGGAGAGTTGGGTCCCCTTCATCTGTTTCTCATACAGTGGGGTGGGGGAGCCATGTGTGATAAAAAAAAATGAACACCACGTGAATTCTGTATTTTTAATACTGTACTGAATGATTGGGAAAATAAGCTACTGCATCCTATATTCGAGCACGAATTAACAGTAAAATCGACCATACTAGGGGTGGGAGGGGGGATGATGTTATAATATCAAATGGCTGAATAGCTTGTGCATACTCAAGTTCAGTTGAATCCCCAACAATAAACTCGTTTGTCATAATCGGCCTGGTCAGACAATTCCATGCTACCACAATCATCAACTAAGCAACCACTTACAAGGAATCAGTGTGAATGATTGCTTGAAAAGTTGGAAAATTTTCCGAACCGTTTATATTTCCGGCAAGCTTTATTAACTTTGAATACCAACCTCAATTTGGTGTTTCAAAACATTCAGATAATCTGATGGGTCATAGAAAAATCACTTTCGTCATAATGCATCCTCAACGTACTTGGTCTGTATCATCGACACCTAGAACACTTTGATTACGAGTCGCGTAGCCCACCACATGATAGGCGTGCGAGTGATCGGCCGTGACAACTATCAGCGTCTCGTCCGATTTAGTCATTTTGATTGCCACATCCACAGCTTCTTCAAGAGCTAGGGTCTCTGTAAGTGCATATCTAAAACCGGAAAAGGAGACAAACTGTTGCGCAGAATGTGTACCACACATACACACACAATATATATATATATATATATATATATATTTACATATATGCACTGGCCCAGGACCAACAATTGAGGTTAAATAAAAAAGCATTAAGTATTAACAAGCACTTCGAACGAAAAAAAGGTTAGCAGTGGGTAACCAACTCGAGAAGGTCATATGCTTCACCATATACAGTATAGAAGTGACTTTCATGCAGTTCACTTTGATCAACTGGCTGGTGGGTTTATTTCATGTGAATAAATTTGAATAAGTTTCAAATAGTAGTTCGTCGTGTATATAGCAAATGAAGCGTGGAATAAAAAAGCTAGGAAGCACTGGACAGCTGTTTCGACTTGGTTGGGTCTCATCGGCAGTGCGAATCCATCGACCCAACTGCCCATGAGGTCCCAGGTTCGATCCCCGGTCGGATGGATTCGCACTGCTGATGAGACGCAACCAAGTCGAAACAGCTGTCCGGTGCTTCCTAGCTTTTCAGCTCACTCTTCAATTGCTATATACACGACGAATTCCCATTTGATGGGTTTATCATTGGGAGTTTACGAAAATACATCATTTGATTTTCGTTTCAGAGCGTGTAATGACTTGCCATGACGGTAACCCATCCAAATGAATCACTGTATCATCGACCAACTGATTGAGAGAGGTCCTTTTTCGTAGTGGTTGTGGAAATCACTAAGTAAGCGAATATAATCCTTACTGTTGTAACGATAGCTCCCGGAGGGTAGAACATCGGACTCATAGGGGCTGTGTGCTAGGAAAATTTCACTTGGCTTCAGGTCACTTAGGTCCATGTTTTGATTGCACTATGAAATTTCATCAATAAGCAGATAAAATCGACGGAGAATTTTTACTGTTATGAACCATGTCTCCAAGGTGAACGATAAATTAATTGTAAGTGTTCACTGCATCATTCAGGTGTTGGTGCTGGTCTATTCTCCGAGCTGGAAGTACTGTTCAGGTTTTTCAGAAGCTAAAGGCGCTTGATCCCGAAAAGGAATTGCTAATATCCTTGCATATGATGATGTTGATTGCATGTACTCTGAGAATCTACTGTATACGGAATACAAAATTATAATGATGACTTTACATCCCCTCACCTCAGGATTATAACTCCTTGTTCGACCGTTAAATGGAGCCTGTTGTATTTCTGGCCTGAATCCATTGAGACTCAATAAAATCATCCACTTTTAAGGCCTGCTGAAATTTCCGGAGCTGTTATAATGACTGTGTACATCTATCTCAAATACGGTGATTCTCAGTTGCTACTGATTCGCCAGGAATCTGTCTTGTTTATTGCCTGAATGGAGGACACCTAGATACAATGACGGAATAAAAAGTACAGTACTCATGAGTAGTATAAGTGTTTTCTAAAATTGTGTATGACGCAACCGGATTTGGATAACATATACTGGCCGACGATTTGACAAATTCATGGCACCAAAAATGTATAAACAAATGCGTAAGTGGATAAAATTGTTCCAAAAGATTGTCAGTATCATTGGGGAAGATCTGGTTAGAGCGATTATTTCACCCTCGATGTCGTACTTCATCCGCATGATCCCAATTACTTCCGCAACAAACAGAACCACTCACCTGGGGTCTCAGAACATAGCACAGATATTAGGATGATAGGTAAACCACTGATCTACAAAATCAGCACGTTCACTTTAGACTTATATGAAAAATGCCCGTATGCCTTAACATGATACGTACAAAACATTTCTTAGAAAATTTACAAACGAAATAAAAATGATTCGTTTTCAAAACAGTGTTCATGATCGGGTATCGTCTGGGTAACTTCGGTCCTAGGTTGCACGTTTCTGGTGAGCGTAGTCATGACCCACCACGTAATTTGGTATCTGTTTCTCAACCGTCCGGAATGTACCTCTGTGTATATTTTCGACCGTTGAAATAGGTCAAAGCCAACCGAATAATTGTTTGATGCACACGCGGCACAATAAAGGGGCCGCATTTTGAAGGTTTCCCCCGGGAGAGATTCTTACATACAACATCAACGATAAGATGGTCTTCTCATCCTCCGCAATCACCCCCCAGAACTATCCGAATGAAATCCTCACGCCCATAACGATACGTGAAAAACAGTAATGCGAGTGATGTTTCATGAACGGTTTACAAAGATCCAGTTGAAAATCGAGCGTTTCCGTGTATAATGCCTTCTAAACAGCAAAAAATTTGTTGAATGTACCCTCAATTGAAATTGTGATCACACTGTAATTCATAATTTCATTCGCTAAAGTGATTACTTCGGCAATGAAAATAGGTCTGTGTTAAATTCGTTTACCTCCAAATCATGTTATGTTGTAGTTTATTTTAAAAGTATACGTGGCCTAATCTCTTGCTACCTCTCGAAATGTTTCACAATCTGCAGACCAGAATTAATCCGTGGAGGGCTCTGATTCTCCTGAGATGAGAGGAGAACGTAACCGAATAAAACTTGAATGGTAAGAATTAATCTGTAGATATATATATATATATATCCATAGGAAGATAGATAGATAGATAGATAGATAGATAGACACGGGTAGATAGATAGATAGATAGATAGATAGATAGATAGATGGGTTCAAATTGGAGTCTGGAGCTGGACAATCTCCGTGATACACCTCGCCCGGGGTCGAACTGAAATTGTCAGAACTCGGAGAAAAATATCAAATGAACGCACTTCGGTCGGATAAAATGCATCTGGGGTGATTGCTCATGAACTATGAACTCTTTTGTTTCATTGAAGATCATATCGTTATACATTCCGACTTTCCACTTATTACAGTTCGTTTACATTGTTGAGTTCTGTGTTCTGACTTCCTTTCGAGTCTAAGCTCTGGGTTGGGTTATTACTGCGCGGATTTCCATACGTTTAAAAATTACTAATCCGAGTGCTAACTACAACAATTGGGGTTGCAGTCATTTTGAACCAATGGATTCCTGTAATTTGGAGAATTTGAACATATTCCTAGTCATACTCTTACCTGTCATACAGTGGAAGAATTCTTACATAATCATAGCCATTGGCTCATTTTAAAGTCAACCTTCGGAGGTAGAGAGTAATGCAAGTGTGCATGTGTTTGTTTGTTTGTGCGTGTGTGTGTGTGTAGGGCGGCCCGAGTTTGGACACCAGCTATGGCCGAGGCGATCGCCATTCGCTTACTAGGCCCCGACCTGTGTACCCAAAAGCGATTGGTGCAGACGCTCCAATTACCTTGACCGTGTGTGAAAACCAAGACGGAACATGACGTGCACTTGACCCAAGTGGGGAAAGGTCACATCAACTAACACGTTAAACTTTCCTACACACACACACACAAACAAACAAACAAACACATGCACACTCCCATTACTCTTTACCTCCGAATATTGACTTTAAA